GATCCGCGTCCTTCGACGGGAGCAAGGAGAGTGCTCAAACTCCTATCGGCTGGAGAAGAAGCTGGTCACTGTGGGATGCACCTGTGCCCGGCCACTTGTCCAATACCAATCTTAACAGGACCAGGCAGATTAAAGCAAGAACTACCCAGTGTAGCATACAGTGCATGTACCAAATTCCTGTGATTACTTAGCTTGGAGCCCAAATGCCAGATCCCAGTGGGGCTCGACCTTAATTTTCAGTTCAAAATTTGGGAGAAATTCTTGGAGTGCTGATAATTATTGCCATTATTCATTCATGTTTGCACTGTGGTAGTGCTTGTGGACTCAGAGCAAGGGGCTTGTTCTGCAGAGGCACCGACCTGCAAAGACCTTCGGGTTTCTTTTTCATAGTATAATTTATCCATTTCAGCCATCAAAATTAGCTAGATCTCCCTAAAGCATTGCTATGTGGGTTTACCTCTGCTGGGGGTTTTGCTGGTATAATAATTCTGGGCACGGTCTATACCAGCAAAACTCTCTATTTGCAGACATTGGGCCTGCCTCTGATCTCTCACTGTTTTTACCCCACTGTAACCCCAATGATTTCACTGAAGTCACTTACCCCAGAGGAGAGGGAGGAGAATTGGAACAAAGTCCAGTTACGTGTTTACATTTATATTTATATGATCTATTTATATGCCTATATTTATGGTCCTTTAAATGCTCAGGGAATGAAAATGTATTTGTATTTATTCTACTAATTCTATAACTTATCTACTGAATAAAGACATGGAAAAATTCACCAGTTTGGTCACCTTTCCTTACTCGTTAAAACTAGTGTTTTCATGGCAATAGAATGAATCACTGTAGTTTGTATTGCCAATATATACACCTGCGATTGCAAGATGAACGGCTAACAGGATTTGGAAGTATATTCTGGATAAAGGGGCTCTTTTTCCTGCATGTTGGCTAACAACAAGCACCAAACTCTCCCTCCCAAAGTCTTTGATTTCTGAGTATTTTATTGGTGTGATGCTTATTTCAGGAGATGACCTTTCCCCTAAGCCTGCAGTTGCACTTGTGTGTCCTGATCCTGCAGTTAAAGCATGGTTTCAAGGGTCATGTAGATCTGCTTACAGATTGGGAGCTGTGGGATGTATCTCTAGATGCTACCCCCCCCCCCCATAGATTCATAGGGTCACAGAAAAGTAGGGCTAGGGGACCTCCCCAGGTCATCTAGTCCAGCCCCCTGCCTGAGGAAGGATCATCCTTATCCAAACTGTCCCTTAAAGTCCTTGTCTAACCGATTCCTGAAGGTAGACAATCAATCCTATCATATGACTACAAGTCACATTGCCCAGAGATACCATGAGTACCCAAACCTGCCACAGGTAAAGCCAGGGGATGAGGGCAGTCCATGTCCTGCTGCAGCAAGGGTTATTAAAATGCCCTTGAGAGATCCAAGGGAGAGGGCTACCCCTCCTACTATGGACTAAGGCAAAAAACCCCACAATCTGTACCAATCTGATCATGGGGCAACCTTCCCTTACACCCTGACCCCAGATTTCACACTCTCAATAGAGTACATTGACTTTATTGCATGGTAAAAGGGCTGGACACATATTGCAAAGCCCTGTTACAGAGTCAATCACATGTAGTAACTGCACTTCTGTGTGTTATCTGTCCACTCCCCGAACCAATTTCCTCCTGGGGGAGTTCTTTGCTCAATGCAAACTGGCTGTCATGCCACATACTGGCCAGGTGCCTGTAATAGCATCTACTGCAGGCTGCCAGCTTGATCTTGAATCCACTCCAATCTATGACAGATTAGGAACCAGTATAAATGACTCCCTAGTAACTGCGTCATATGTCTGCATCCTCATGGGACTTCTGGAACCAGCGGTGGGGCAGCAGCACATTCAGATGAGTGCAACCTTCATACCTGATCCCACCGTATTCATCTACCATGCCTCTGGTTTTATCTTAAGCACCATTCCTCATTTCCATCCTTCACTAAATTGGTTTCATTTATTGATGAAGCATCTTCACTCAAGGATGGAGTCTGGAAAGAATCTGGTAAGCAAGAGTTGTTACATATTGGGCATGTCTACACAAGACACTACTGCACAGTAGCAATGAGTTACTTCACTTGTCACCAGCCGTGGCTCTAGCCCTTTGATCCCCTGTTGACTCAGGACAATATATGTCTTCAGTGTGATGCAGCCATGCAAAAGGTGAAAGAAGTTTTGGGCTGGATCAATAGGAGCACTAGGTGCAAGAAACAGGAGGTGATAATGTGTCTCTACTCACCACTGGTTACACCTTGTATAAAGTATTGCATGCAGTTTTGGGTTCCACATTTTAAAAAGGGTGTGCAGAAGTCAGAGAGGGTCCAGAGGTGGGTGACAAAAATGATAAAGGGCTTTTATCCTGGCTGAAGGTCATCAGGAGACCACTGTCTCCCCCATTGCCAAATTGCAGTCCATCTCTCTGGTCTGCTCTAGTCAGGAGGATGAAGGCCCCATGGGGTCACAATAGATCCTGGGGTTGCAAGAGACGATGGAGGCAGCAGCTGAATTGCTCCAAGTTAAATCCCATTAACGGTGTGTCCACACAGGAGTTTACATCAGTTCAACCAAATGGCTGTTACAGCCGATGTACCTCTGGGTTTGCTCAGGGCCTTTATTTCAACCAAGCGCTCTAGCAGGGATTGACAACATAGACAGAGTGTATCAGGACACGGCAAATCAGACGATTAGAGGCTGAAGGAAATAGGCACCTTCATCTTTCGGAAAAGACACTGAAGAACCTTTTCTGATACCGGTCTTCAAATATCTTCAGGACTGCCACAAAGATGAGGGAGATCAGTTTTTCTCTCTAGCTGCAGAGAGCAGGACACAGAACGAAGGCTTGTGCTGCAGCCGAGTAGATTTAAATTGGACATCAGGAAAATATTCATCGCTGTTAGAAGTGGCATAGACGCCTCGGGAAGTTGTGAACTGACCCTCCTTGGAGGCTTGGCCGGTTGCTACACGGGGCTGGGAGGGAATTTTCCTGCCTCCTCTAAGGGATTTTTGCTCAGAAGCATTATTGGGTGTTGGCGGCAGTCAAGGCTAGGCATTTTGACTGGGTCACCAGTGCTCCTGCTGCAACTAAAACCCAAGTATTCCTGGCTGGAGGATCTTGGCCCTCTACTGAGAATCAAAATGATCACTCGATTTAGAGTCAGGAAAGAATTCGACCCTATGGTCAGATTGGTATGGACTATGGGGTTTTATTGCCTTGCTCTAGAGCAGGGGACATGGTCCTCTTCCTTGGATCTCTTGAGCCTATTTTACCCCTTGCAGCAGCAGGACATTGGCCACCATTGGCCTCCTGCTTTCCCGGTGGCAGCTTACGGTTGTGTGCCTTGCGGTTCTGTGACAGGGTTGCCTGTGTTGTTTTAGGAATAGGCTAGACAATCATTTGTATGGGGATTGTTTGGATAGGGATGATCCTGCCACAAGCAGGGGGCTGGACTAGACGAGCTCTGGAGGTCCCTTCCAGCCCCACTTTTCTATGACTCTATTAATGTAAATCTGGTTTTAAACCAACGAGAGCCCCTGGGAGAAGTTCAAGAACGGCGCGATTAACCTTACTCCCAACTGACTGAAGGTAAACCCCAAAAGCCACCCTAAAACCAAGCGAGGGACCAGAGTGGTTCACAAGTGCACCATCTTCAATTCACACCTTCAGTTAGACGGGTGGAAATTGCTCATCCAGACAAACCCTGTGTCTATTTTTGACTTCTCGTGATCCTGTTAGCCAAAGCTCTGCCATGCAGCCCATTGCCAAATTGGAGTATCTCAAGTTGGTTCACATGACCCCCACCAAGTCATGCCTATTTAGGCTGGGGATATTTTTCTTCTCCCCAGGTTACTGGGGTCCCCAGTAAAACCAGTAAAACCCAGTTTCTGATGTGACTAGAAGGAAGCGTTTCTCATTTAGTTACAAAAAGTTCTGCTTGCTTGTGGCAACCGAGCTGTTTCATTATGACCACCAAACCCTTCATGTGGTGAGGCACAAACAGCCCTAGGCGAGCTCCGTCAGCTGCCCACACGGCATGAGTTCCCTTGTTACAGTAACCCTGCGAGAGGGAAGCTCAGATGCAAAAAGCACAACATGCACGGTAATTGTTACTCAAGGTGACCTAAATTTGCCGTCTCCTAACAAGCTCTGTCTGTGTTGTCATTCCCTGGTAGAGCGCTTTGTTGAAATAAAGGCCCTGAGCGAACCCAGAGGTACATTGGCTGTAACAGCCATTTGGCTGAACGGGTGTAAACTCCTGTGTGGACACATCATTAATGGGATTTAATTTGGACCAGTTCAGCTGCTGCCTCCATCATCTCTTGCAACCCCAGGATCTATTGTGACCCCATGGGGCCTTCATCCTCCTGACCAGAGCAGGCCAGAGAGATGGACTGCAATTTGGCAATGGGGGAGACATTGGTCTCGTGATGACCTTGAGCAAGGATGAGTCTGAGAGGGCCATCTCCCCAGATAGAGCAGCCTGAACAATTAGCCTGTGACTAGTTATTTGGTTGGCAACAAAGGAGTGGGTTGGCTTTTATTCCCAGGAAACAAATGTACAGAAAGACAGGCAGAGCTGCCCATGGCTCCCTGGAAAGAGCATCATCACCTAGGCCCAGTTCCTGGAGTGGGGTCCAGCTGGTCTGAGCTCTGCCCCGTTGATGTCAAACAGGTTTAGCATGAGTGGATTCAGCCCATGGAAGTCCCCATGACCCACACCTCTCGTGGTTGCTCCCAAGCCAACCTCCTAGCTATCAGTGTAGGAAGCAAAGACAATAACTGGGAAATCTGTGGCTGCTGAAATTACTCTTATGTTCACTAGGGCAGTCTTCAGGGACCTGATCATCCCCTAGGGCCAGAGAGCCATAAATGTACTATAAATCTACCTTTATGCTTTCCTGTAGTCCCAGGTGGACTGAGCAGTCCTTGATGAAGGTTCGGTATCTGCAGTCCTTGGTGAAGGTCCAGTATCTGGGTCTTTATCTCCCACCTTTCCCCTCTCCATTCTCATTGCTTTTCTCTGACCTCCTCTCTGCCCCTTCACCGTAGGTCATCTCTTGGGCTATG